GATCTTTACTAGGGAGGTCGTTCAGGACGTGGAGCGCTTTTTGAAAACGGTTTTTTGCATGATGTGGGGTCACGTGCATGGAGTACCAAACTGGTGTTCATTTTTCCTGAACGCCTCTGGGAATGCCAAAAATGGAGTGAAAAAGAAGTCCATGGAAACCGACTGTTTTTGAGCCTGAATGGGCTCTAAATCACTCGCAAGTTCGGCCAGCTGCTGCCTATAGGGTCCTTATAAAGGTTGTACTGGTATCGATGAGAAAAGTAGTCGCAATGGGGTCTTACTTGTGGCACGTAGTTAAGAGTCGACGGCTAATTGGATGGGCTCTTAAGCAAAGAATGGTAGCTGAGGCCAACGATCGATGCCTATGTGATAGCATGTAGGATTTCAAGCAGACGTTGGGAAGCTTTGAGGATGATGGTTCGACTCCCCTCGGCTTGCACGTTTTGCATTTTTTATTTTCCGTTGTTGTCGCTTCCATATACGTCTGTTAATGAATTTTACTCGGATATCTGCCATTTATAGGCACATCCTAAATAGTTATAGCCCGTAGTCGGTGCTATTCAGCAATTTCGATTTCACATACCATTAAGCAAGAACTTGTCTGAAAGTTGAACGTTATCCCTGATCACGACTATGGCATTGACTTTCAGCTCTAGTGCCATTTATCCCCAATTTGGAGCCACGTCTTTCTCCCACTGGAGTCGCTATGTACATTCGTTTGAGGGACTTGCAGGGCCATTCTGACGCCAGATTGGGTTGACGTCAAGAATAAGTGTCAGAATCGTGATCAGGACACACGATTACCCCCTAATGGCAAACTTTCAGCGCCTTTTTTTTGACTTTCTGAGTTGTGCGCATTGGCTTATGATCAAGAGATCATTTGTTGAGTGTACTTTTTGCTGTTATCCGAAACCCTATTCAGATGGTACGGAGACAAAAATAGCAACACCATAAACTGGCCATAGAAAAATAACAACATGTTTCCCATCATTCTCCAGGTGCATTTGAAATAAGTGAAAGATAATCGCTGAGGCCTTTTCTCATTGTAGGGAGGACGACATTTGGTTGAGGAGCCTTGCGGTGGGTCACATATGTCAGGATGGTTCCACTTGTTCTGCGGCACCCGGCATCGCCAAGTATGAATGGACTTAATGAAGCACGCAAATCCGCGATCACGGCCTGCAGCGGCACACCCGTCATCGCTACGTCATCGCAGATCCAAAGTTGTGGGTCTCCGGTCATCACTGTCGACCAAATGGTCGGTCTATCACAACTCAAAAAAGTCAAAAAAATTTTTTTGGCCGAAAGTTTGCCTATAGGGGTAATCGATGGTCCTGATCACGATTCTGACACTTTGACGTCAACCCAATCTGGCGTCAGAATGGCCCTGCAAGTCCCTCAAACGAATGTACATAGCGACTCCAGTGGGAGAAAGACGTGGCTCCAAATTGGGGATAAATGGCACTAGAGCTGAAAGTCAATGCCATAGTCGTGATCAGGACACCGTCAGCTTCGAGCAAGTTTTGACTATGGTATGTGAAGTCGAAATTGCTGAATAGCACCGACTACGGGCTATAACTATTTAGGATGTGCCTATAAATGGCAGATATCCGAGTAAAATTCATTAACAGACGTATATGGAAGCGACAACAACGGAAAATAAAAAATGCAAAAACGTGCAAGCCGAGGGGAGTCGAACCATCATCCCCACGCTCAACGTCTGCTTGGAGAATGACTCCATGCGTATCCACTAGGCATCCGATTCGTTGGCTCAGCTACCATTCGTTTGGCTTAAGAGCATTCAACTAAGTCGTCGACTTTACTATAGTGCCACAAGTAAGCCTCTTGGCGACTACGTTCCTCACCGATACGCAGTACAACTTTATAAGGCCGCCTATAGGAGCAGTGGGCCCGAGTGATTTAAGAGCCCATTCAGGCTCAAAACAGTCGGTTTCCATGGACTTCTTTTTCACTCCATTTTTGGCATTCCCAGAGGCGTTCAGGAAAAATGAACACCAGTTTGGTACTCCATGCACGTGACCCACACATCATGCAAAAACGTTTTTCTAAAAAGCGGCTCCACGTCCTGAAAACGACCTCGCTAGTTAGAGTTTTACCTTACGTAGTTTATGTCCGAGTGAGTAGAACGAGGGACTATAAACGAGGTTTTCAATGATACTCATTGTCAGAATAGAAAACTACAATAGAAAGGCCCGGTTGAGTAAAATTGCCGAAATGTACTATTGTTTAGGTCAGTATGAACAGTCTTCATTAGCCGATGCGACATTTCTCAGCGCCAAGGAAGAAAAGATGCACCCTCTTTACAGACGCTGGGCATCACGGATCAGCTGCAAGAAAGAGAAGGTCCCGACAAATTTACGCACAGGAAGCAGTCGCCAGCACCACAGAAAAAAAAAACTATGGAGAAATCCTCAAAATACATGAGATGGCAACACTCTGCGGACTAGATTCCACGGACATGCTCCTTTTTATGTGCTGCAAAGGCGATAGTCCTGCGCCTCAGGCTACTATCGTTCCTTTGTTTTACGTACTGCTGATACGCAGTAAAAGTGAAATAGTGAACAAAGTGTCAAAAACTTACTCGTGACGGAAATAGCTTTGAATTTTTGGTGGGCGAGGACGAACATGAGGGAAGGCGTTCAGCAGCTGCCACTATTGGCTGGCAGCATCTTCGGGCATGTACTGCTGGTGGCGCGAAAGTAAGATATTCTTAGGGACCAGACTACTTGCACAAGGAGGGACGCTTACGAATAGTCACAAGGGAGGTCGTTCAGGGCGTGGTGAGCTTTTTCAAAATGGTTTTGTGCATATTGTAGGGGCACATAGGACCAGAAAACTGAGGTTCATTTTCGCTGCGCGCTTCTAGGAAGAAAAACGTAAAAAATAGGTCGACGGTTTGGATCCCACCGAGGGCAAGATTTTGCTTTTCTACAATTTTTTATTTTTTGGGTCCATGTTTGTCTAAATACTTTGTCCCAACAAAGACATTTACGATAAACTGAACAATCCTATTTTTGAAGGGCGAAACTGCTTTTCTTTCATTAGTATTCACTCTTCGGCGCCATGCTGGCTCCACATTTAAGCCCCACATTAAGTGTGTTGATCAGCAATAAATAAAAGTTTGTATTTGGAGAAGTGGCTGGAAAACACCTAACATCCACTGCCCTTTCACAGTTCTGGCTAGTAAGCAAACAAAATAGTCAAGTAACTTCGTGACAAGGACAAGGTAGTCAAGTACCTTCGTGAAATAAAAACGTCAACGTTTGATGAAAGAAAAGGAGGAAAAGGACAACACGGCGAACTTCCTTGATGCATGACCGGTCAGCTTGATCAAGTAATGCAGAACAAAACTTAAAAACGTCATCCGGCTGAAATACCCTTGCCACTGGACCAAAATAATAGCAGTAGGAAAGTGTTCTCACAATCAAAAATACATCAGCACATTGGTATGGTACTCTTGCAGTGTACTTCAGCTTCACTAACGGCCGTTTCTCATATCACTTTCCTTATCATACTTACGAACAGACATGCAAACAGTGCGTGAACTGACACACTTGAAACACTATCCTCAAAAGAATTAGAAATAAAGCTTTCGCCGTTGATCAATATCTTTTTGGGATGTGGCACGCTTGTGTGTAGCATGCTAATCATGATATACATACAGCCACTCTAGTACTTTGAGGATTGCGAAAGGAAGAAAATCGATATTGTCAATGGCATTTTTGATACCATCGAAGAGAAGTCCTTCAAAATGCATTATGAAACGAAGGGTAACCAGGGCAATCTGAACTGGAATTCCCATCCAAAATTCATCACACCGACTAAACACTAACACTAATCAAAGGTTCGCGCGTACTTTGAAGGATGACACATGAAATGTTTATCAGAGAATCTAGAAAGGAGAAAATTCATAAGAATTGACCCAAACAGCTTCTTCGTCTACAACTGAGCAAAGGTTCTGGTATTTTCAGCTGTGGTAACCAGAATATACTATTCTTACCACAGCTACTGCTTCGCAAACAGTCAAAGTACGCGCGAACCATTTGATTAGTGTTAGTGTTTAGTCAGTGTGATGAATTTTGGATGGGAATTCCAGTTCAGATTGCCCTGGTTACCCTTCGTTTCATAATGCATTTTGAAGGACTTCTCTTTGATGGTATCAAAAATGCCATTGACAATATCGATTTTCTTCCTTCAATCGAATCATCCGTTTATACAGTTTAATACAGACAATCGTTTTAATACAGTAAAGGACCATAAGAAAGAGGTCCTACCTTTTTTCTGGTGATCTGCAAAACTATTGCATGACTCTTTTATTTCAGGCACATTTCCTTCACCACTATAAGTTTCGTCTTTTTGATAAACCAAAGAGGCTTCCAAAATGCTGTCTTCCACTAACTCTGCTGCTAATTTTTCAGCAAAATCGTTGATGCACTGATATCGAACTGAAACAACTGCAAATCTAACTGTATCAGATAGCAATTACATAAACTATTGTAAAACTTTAAAGACTCCATATAAGGGCTGCAATCAACAATTATGTAGGAATCGACGAGCCTAACCTGTTTCCGAAGCGGTGTCAGAAATATCGCACATCGTAGTAAGTCATTTTTGCATGAGCTCAAGCTCGCTCTGCAAGAGGTATTTTTACATTTCACATAGGAAACGACTAACTTCGAACATGCGTTGCACCATAGCATTGAACTTGTCACGTAAAGAGATAACATCATTACTGGACGTACAATTAGAATCTGTAAACCAGACTTCTTTCAGCATGCGAATGTTTATCTAGCTCGTTGCGGATGAAGGGGCGTGTCAGGCTCTATGAGTGTGCCCCGGCTCCAAACCCGTTCTCTGCCAGCTGCTGAAGCGGGCACGAGACTACACTCGATAGAAATCGAGTGATATTGACGATATGATACACTCCTGTCATTTGCTCGCTTCAACAAGCGCTTCAACAGTGGGGACGGGTTTGGCACCGCGCCAAACTCATTCCGCCCGACACGCCCTTTCATCCGCAGCGAACTTAACAATAACAGCTGATAAGAAAGCTTTGATGCAAGCGCGATTTCCTTTTTTAACCAATTCCGTACCGCGGCGTTTTCGCAAAAACGGGCGCCTGTGGCCGACGCCCTTTTATCGACGCGACTCGTGGCGCGCCGAGTATAAACAAATGTGATTTAATTCATGCACATATGCTATAAAAATATTGTATATACTTCACATTGTACAATACTTTTATATGCATCAGTATGATAAGTAAAACTGAATACTATTACGTGTTAAAAAAGATGAGCCGAAAAAATGCAGCAGTTGCTAAAAAGATTTATAAAATCAAAAAGGATTGGAAATGGGGCGCAATACGTTTACAAATTGTTCAGTTGCTCTATTTTGCGACCTTTTAGTTCGGTCACAACCTTAGTTTTGGCTTTACTGGTTACAAAGAAAAAAGCAAAGAACATAGTAGCTGGAGAATTTCCTAAAAAATGTCGATAACTTAGCTCTAGCTGGATCCTACAATTTCCCCTTTTCATATTTTCTTCCAGAAGGCTTCAGAAATATACCGACCCACTTGGGTCATGGAACAATGCTAAATAAGTTTAAACGAAGCGTGCTGCACCATGTGCAGCACGCGGCCATACAGAGAGAAATGAGCATGCAGCACGCGCTCGCGCCAAACATTTTCGCTTGAAGCGAATGATATTGGCGTCCGAGTGTCGGGCTTTTTCAAAATCACGAGCAGAACCCGGCCCGGGTTCCAAAGACGCCACCAACGCCAGATGCCAATAGCGCACCACGCATTTTGTCGCCTAGCGAGTTCGGGGGAAGGGAGAGAGGAGGGTAAAGCTATACAGCCTCAGAAAACAAACGTAGCAAACCTGGTGTTTTGAAGTGCGTTGGCGCCAGACGGCTTCCTCTCACTTGTGGTTACATTCATGCTAGAGGTAAAGCTGCACCAGCAATGGGAATCCTACTTACATCAGCGTCGTGGAAAAAATTCCGGTTTCAAAGACAAAGTTAAAAGGAAATGGGGCCGTCAAACCCAATTCCATCGGAGAGCGCTGAATTCAGCGAACGGATTGGTACTTTAACCTCCCACAACTATATGAACTTGAGAACTCAGTCTCGCTCTTGAGACTTTGGATTAATCCCTTTTTTACCTCCAAAGAAACCTTTGAAGGATACCGCGACTATTCAAGCATGTTTACTCGGTAATTTTGAGCAAAAGCGACAACAAACAACCAACAAATTTGCCCTCCTGTCAGTTGCAGTGCCCATAAATCGACATGTCATCTAAAACTGAACACAAGGGAAATCGACAGCGTGGGAAAGCTCTCACGCTCAGATCCGAGAACTCGAACTCCTCGAATCTAACGCTATCTGATGGGATCGAAATCGCCTTAATGGATCAACAAATGAAGAAAGTGTCTACATGAAAATAAATTGCGAAAATGCTCCTGCTAGATCAGTAAGATGCGGAACTAGGTTGATGGTTGGACTCTTAAAGAATTCTGAACACTTCCTTTCTTTAACAAGCAGTCTGCGCAATGTTCTGGGGTGGCTCGGTTTAGTAGTCGTCACCGTTTAGAGGGGGCGTGCGGGACCTATTTTTATCTTATTCTTTGAGCTAATTCCCCGGTTCGCCGAATATCCAATTCTCCGAGATATGGATGGAAAGCTTTGCCCTCCCCAAGACACGAACCTTGACCTCGCGCTTTGATTCCCGTCACGGAGATATCCTGGTTCGACTAATGGCTAGACAAGCATTTCTCCTAACTCAGCATTCCTGATGAGTCATATCGCGAATGAAGCCTTGAACGCAGTCTTCTGAAGAACACATTATAAATCAGCATGTCTGCTGCAATTAGTCAGATAGTAGAGCGAAGAACTACTGAGAAACCCAATCAAAAGAAGACTTTGACATCCTGGATTAAAAAAAACTGATGCATCGCGTGAATTATTTTCATCCTAAATTCCTCGCTCTTATGAAATGAGGACGTCAAGAGCCACCGATAAGCACAAGCATGACTCTACTCTACTCTTGATTCTAATTCTCCTACTTGTCATAACACCGACTTGACACGAAAATGCATCCGTATAAGCATATCTGGCAATTTAACATGCAAAGGCCTAATGACAGCGATAGAAACTGGCGCAACAATTCAGATGTGGAGAACCGCTCCGCTTCTTCATTTCCGTTTACGAAAAGCAATTAAATAGAAGTGTTGAGTCAGAAGTAAGTAGATCGGGACGGAAGTAAATCAAAAACGTGTTCTGTTCCGAAACAAAAAAATAGCATGCACGTATACCCATGAAGTACCGTTATTCAAAGACACCTCACAAAGCATCGGACAACTGCAGCAGAACCAGATGAACCACAAAACAGCAAAGCAACAAAGTATAAAAGCAAGTACAACCTCCACAACGAGAAAAAAACTAGCACGAGTTTTGGAGTAGGCGTCAGTCTCGACAGTTCATACGTAACCTGCGCTAAACACCATACTGTACGCCATTTACACATCCGCACGCCCGGTTACAGTATGGTAAGGCCGCGTTCATACATGATGCAGAAATGCCGAACCACGGAATGTGCAGAACTGCGGAACTTGCAGAAAAAGAAAATATGTCTATCGATTTCAAAAACCGTGGAATATGCAGTCGTGCGGAATCTGCAGAATCTGCAGATTCTGCATTTCTCCCAATTCCGCACGACGGCAGGGAAGAACCAATCGATCCCTATCAATTCTTTGTCCGTCATTTCTGCATGTCGGCAAATTCCGCGGAATTTGAAGAAATGCAGTTTTCAGATCGATACGTATATATTTCCTTTCTGCAAATTCCGCAGTTCAGCAGTTCTGCATATTCCGCATTTCTGCATCATGTATGAACGCGGCCTAACTTCTGTGGGCGAACAACCAGGTTTTGGGCGAGAATAATAGTATAGATATCGATCTGGCGTTTTTAGCGCCGATCGACACCTACACTATACTTTTCGCTCAAAACGCTAGCATTCCGCTGAGAAGATTCAAAACGCTAGGTCGATAGCTAACTTTCCTTTCGCCCAAAACGCTCGAAACGCTCGAACGCAGACGAGAATCAGCAGCTTTAGTGATTGAATGGCACTATGCACAACTTTTCTCCTCATTTCAGCACCACTCCTAGAATGCCTAGAGTAGTTCAGGTTTCAACTGCGAGCTTATTCTTGAAGCTGTGAATAGGGCTGACTATGGATCTCGTACTCGTACTGTATTTCGTTCAGAAAAACTATGCTTGATCATTCCTCGTATCGCACGAAACCAACAGGAAGCAAGCAGGCAGTGGTAACCACACGACAAAGGAGGCTATACTGTCATCAGAACCATATACACGTTTGGCGCGGTGCCAGACCCGTTCTACACCAGTTGTTGAAGGAGGCAAGTGACATTACTGTATCATATCCTTCGTACATATACTTCAGCCGGACCGTCTGTGTGACCGTCCTGACGTCCCTCGTTTCTGACTCTGTCGAGTCGTGTCCAGCCGCAGGCCCATCTCAGCATCCTCATTTCAGCTGAGTGGAGCTGCATGGTTCTTGCAGATGGGCCAGCACTCACTGCCGTAGAGCATTGTAGGCCTTACCACCTTCCAATACACCTTGCTCTTGAGGGTTCTCGAGCACCGCTGGTCGCAGTAGAAGCATGCGGATTCCTTCTATTTCATCCAGGCTGCATTGTTTCATGTCTTTACCGCCTGCCCACACTGCGATATCGCTCCCCAGGTACTTTAATTCCTCGACCGTTTCGAAATGTTCGTCGTAGCGGTCTACGAGGCACTGCTCGATGCTCAGGAACATGATCTTCGTAGTCGGAGTTTATTTCAGCGAGCATCCTCCCACCGCTGCTGCGTTTTCCTAAGGTTCTTCTCTGCTGTCCGCTATCAGGGCGATGGTCAGCGTAGAGGATGGTTTATGAGTTCTTTTGCCATGACATCTAGAGTCAGGAGGAAGAGGAACGGGCTGAGGGCTGATCCTTGGTGTACCCCAACCGTAATGTCCTCCTTCGTCAAGCCGTGCGGGGTGCGTACAGCTGCCTTGGCCCCATCGTACCTGTTCCACACCATGGAGACCAGGTGTCCTGGAGAGTACCGTTTTCTGAGCGCTCTTAAGGTACTGGCCAAGGAAGACGGTAAAATGCTTTTTCTAGGTCCAGGAAGGCTAGGTAGCAGGGTCGCCGCTTCTCTCGGTACTTCTCCATCAGCTGTCTGGCGATGAAGATGGCATCACTGGTGAACCTATCGGGCATGGAAGCCGAACTGCTCCTTCATGCCCGATAGGTCCAACCTAAAAAATGGCACCATTGCAGCTCTTCACAGTCTTCACTGTGTGGATATTCTGAGTAGCGCAATGTCGGACCTTACCCAGGAATGAGACGAACTTGTCCCCTTCTCGGCCTTCCAGCTTGTCGTACAGGGCGTCCATTTCCGTATTCTTGGCCTTAGCAACGGCCGCCTTAGCGAGTCGCTTGCAGCTCTTGTAGGCAGCGAGATCTTCTGGGCTCCTTGTCTTTTGTTGACGTTTGTAGATCCCTCCTTCCTCTGCTTAACGATTCCCTGAGACA